GTGGTTATGATGCGGATGATGATAATGTTTATGATGATGATGATGATGATGATGAAGATGATGATGATGATAATGTTGATCATGATGATGATGATGATAACGTTGACGGTGCTGGTGAGGATGATGATGATCATGGAGATGGTTTTTGCGATGATGGTGGTGATGTTGATGAGGATGATATTGATGATGATGATGTTGATGTTGCTGGTGATAATGATGATTGTGATGATGATGATGGTGCTGGTGGTGCTGATGGTGATGATGATATTGATGATGATGATGTTGATGTTCCTGGTGAGGATGATCGTGATCATGACGATGGTGCTGTTGATGATGGCGGTGATGTTGTTAATGACGATAATGATGATGATGATGATGATGATGATGATGATGATGATGATGATGATGATGATGATGATGATAATGATGATGATGGTTTTGATGATGTTGATGATAGTGAAGATCATATTGATGATTATGACGGTGGTGCTGGTGATGATCTTGGTGGTGACGATGATGATGATGATGATGATGTTGATATTTATCATGAAGAAGATGATGTTATTAATGATGAAAATGATGATGGTGATGATGCTTATGCCGATGATGATGTTGCTGGTGATGATCTTGATGATGAGGTTGATGGTGCTGGTGATGATGATGACGATCATGACGATGGTGCTGTTGTTGATGGTGCTGATGATGGTCATGGTGATGTTGATGATGGTAATGATTATGATGATGATGATGATGACGGTGGTGCTAGGAACGAGGATCGTGATGACGATGGTGATGATGATGGTGCCGACAATGAAGTTTATGATAATGATGACGATCATGATGATAATGACGACTGTGCTGACGATTATTGCGATGATGATGGTGATGATGATGAGGATGATGATGACGATAAAAATGATGATGTTTATGAAGACCATAATGAAGATGAAGACGATGATGACCACGATGAAGATGGTGCTGGTGATGATGGTGGTGATGATGAGGATGATGATGGTGATGATGATGATGTTGATGACGTTTATGTTGATGGTGGTGATGTTGATGATGATGATGGTGATGATCATGTTGATTATGGTGAGGATTATAATGATGATGTTGACGGCGCTGCTTGTGATGATGTTGTTGTAATGACGATGATGATGATGATGGTGATGATGATGATGATGATGATGATGATGATGTTGTTTACGATGATGATGATAATGAGGTTGATGTTATCTCTGATGATGGTGATGACGATGGTGCTGTTGATGATGATGATGACGATGTTGATGGTGCTGGTGGGGATGTTGATGATCATGAGCACGGTGCTGTTGGTGCTGGTGGTGATGATGGTTATGATGATGTTCACGACAATGAAATTTATGATGATGACGACGATGAAGATGATCATGACGATGGTGCTAATGATGATTGCGGTGATGATGGTGATGATCTTGATGATGGTTAGGATAAGGATGATGAAATTTTTGATGATGATGATGACGATGATGATGACGATGACGATGGTGCCGATGATGATTGCGGTGATGATGGTCATCACGATGATGAAGATGATGACGTCCATAATGATGATGAAGTTTATGATGATCATGATGACAATGGTGCTGATGATGATTGCGGTAATGATGGCGATGATGATGATGATGCTGACGATAATGATGATGATGACGATGGTGATGATGATTCGGATGATGATGATGGTGGTGATAATGATGATGATGATGATATTGATGATGATGAAGATGATGATGTTGATGATGATGATGAAGGTAATAATGCTGAGGATGATGATGGTGACGATGATGCTGGTGATGATGTTGGTGATGATGAGGGTGATGATGGTGATGATAGTGATGATGTTGATGGTGGTGATGATGATGCTGATCTGCACGATGATGATGATGATTCTAATGTTGATCATGATGAGGATGATGATGATGATGAAGATGATGAGGATGATGTTGATGATGATGCGGCTCATGATGATGATGATGATGTTGATGGTGGTGATGATGATGTTGATGGTGGTGATGATGATGTTGACGGTGGTGATGATGATGATGATGTTTACGATGATGATCNCATGATGTTGATGAAGATCATGATGATGCTGATGCTGATGATGTTGATGATGATGATGATGATGATGATGATGATGTTGATGATGACGATGGTTCTCGTGATGATGTTGGTGATGTTGGTGAGGACGATATTGGTGAGGATGTTGTAGATACTGCTGGTGATAATGATCATTGTGATGATTCTGATGGTGCTGGTGGTGATGACGGTGATGATGTTGATGATGATGATGATGATGATGACGATCGTGCTGATGATGATTGCTGTATTGATGATGATGCTCATGATGATGGTGATGATGATGATGATGATGATGATGATGATGATGATGATGGTGGTGATGATGATGTTGGTGATGATGATGACGATCATGACGATGATGATGATGATGATGATGATGACGTGTATGATGATGATGATGATCGTCATGACGATCATGTTTCATCATGGTAATGATGACGATGATGATGATGATGTTTATGATGATGACGATGATGTTGATGATGATGATCAGGATGATGTTTATCATGATGATGATGGTGGTGTTGTGTTTCGTCTGTGTGTACGAATAGCACGAGCGACTCTTACTTAACCGCCAACGACAACGTGGAGAGTGAACACAAGTTGCGACACAGTCAGCGTGTATTCTTCGATAAGTTATCGATTTGTCAAAAG